CGGTAAATATATATGTAATGCTATTTAGTGTATTTTTTCAGAGTGTTTTTGGCAAGCCCTCTAACAGTTTTTCGTCCACTCAGGAACGTCCCTTATACATATATCAGTAACGTAATTTCTTGTGTTCAACCGTCCATACTTTCTGTCGAAAAAATGCTAAAGTCTCTAGATGTTAGTAAAAGAGCTGGTAGTGATGGATTGCCAGCAATATTTTGGTCATGATGTATGTAAGAGATGTATCTCTTGCTCTTCCTTTAATTATTTTCATAAGTCCTAAACTTCATTTTACAATCCTTTAACACGAATGTGTCGCTCTTATAATGATATAGTTCTGACTGAGTCAGGTAAGCACATTGATGTCTTTGACAATAATGTAAATAAGCTTCGTACTCAACTGTTCCACTACTTTAAGTCAACTCCACATTAATTATTCCTCGTCGTAGTAAAACTTTCACTAAATTGTCGTAAAATTTGTTAAATTTATAAATTGGTTTTTTTGAGTAAAATATATACATAAATATGTTTAGGTATAATACATATTGCAACTGTATGTACGCGTTTTTGGTTTGTATTCCAGGTCAAAACTTTGTATATAATAGGTATTTATGTTACGTAAAATTGAATGTAAACTGTTGTGTACATCCAATAAAATAAATAAAAATAAATAAATAATTACAATTTTACAGCTCCCTTCGTGAGTGTATTTTTCCGAAGATGTAGAAATCCGCTCATATGTTTCCTGTACTTATGAGAGGGTCGCGAATGGATATTAAAATTATAGAGGTATTTCTATCCTAAATACTGCCGCCAAATTACTTGAAAAATAGTATATAACTCTATTTACATGTCTCTATTACAACAGCAACATGTTTTATAAGAGGACGATTCATTTACTACTTATTTAGCATCTTTTTCAAATTTTGTTTTAGAAAAAATGGACATGGAAACAGGTTGACAAGATCTATACTGATTTTGAGAAAGCTTTTGATCATGTTGATCACGTGATCCTGTCAAATAAACTACAAACTCTGGACATCCATGGGGATTTACTTACGTGGATCGAGTCGTATCTAACAAATCGTTCTCAGGCAGTGGTTATAGCCGGTTATCGGTCCAACTACGTTGACACATAAGTGTTCCGCAAAACTCTAATTTAGGACCGCTCTTTTACAATGCCTACTTATACTATATAGGTCTAGGCTTAAAACATTCTAATTATCTTATGTACGCGGAAGATAAAAAGATTTTATTACAAAATCAATACTGTACAAGACTGTTTTTCGTTAAAAAAACTGACCTAAATTATTTATTCAACTATTTATACTAAAAACAATATAACAGTTAACACTGGTAAATGTGAATGCATCTCATTTATTCGAAAAAAGGGGCCTATTCTATTTAATTATAATTTAAAGGGCGAAAAAATAAGCAGAAAAGAAAGCTTAAGAGACTTGTGTGTCCAATTTGACCAAAAAATGATACTATCAGATCATATAAAAAAAACTGTAACCAAGGCATATAAAAATTTAGGTTTTGTTCTTCGTGTGTGCAAGCCATTAAAAGGTATATCAGCCATTAAGACGGTTTATTTTGCATATGTAAGAAGCTTCTGCAATATGTTAGCCCGATTTGGTCGCCCCAGTACCACATATATCGAAATCGCCTGGAGCGTATCCAAAAAAATCTTAATTAAACATTTAAAGTTTCGCTGTCATGAATCATGTGAATCCTACGAAGTAAAGTACTTTTGTTGGAGCAGAAACGTATTTTGCTGGATTTGGGTCTACTCTACGATATAATAAACAGCAAAGTTGATTGCCCGCATCTAGTGTCCAAAATAATTTTTCGAACTCCTAAATATTGGACCCGAAATACATCCCTATTACAAGTTCCACAACATAATTCGAATTGTCTAAGAAACTCAGTATTACTTGGGCTTCCTCGTACATATAATACCTTATTTAATAGCATCGAAATCTTTACCAATACTAAAAAAATATTAAAGGTGAAGATTATAGAAGCACTAACTGAATCTTTGTAACTATTTGTATGTATGTGTGTAGTATATTTATGGTTTCTATATAGTTTTAAAGATATATGTATATGTATTGTGTTATAATATCCATATTTGAATGATGTGTGTATTACTATTATGATATTATTACTTATATCTATTAAATGAGGTTAACAGTATTTTTAGATGAATTAGCTTATTTATTAGGTGATGGATTGTGACTGTATAGCTTTTCTTTTTTCTCAGCAACATAAATCTCCATAGTACTAATTTGTTAACTTTAGGGAAACCTGTTATTGGCTACACTTATTGTTATATCCTTATGTTAAAAATGTATGTATAAGCTGTTGGTTTTCTAAATAAATAAATAAAACCATCAAAATAGGTCCACAATTGAGGAAGATATCAAAGAACACACAAAAAAACAGTCGAATTGACAGCATCCTACGTAAAATTCATGCAAAATTTCAACCGGCATCATATAGTTTGTACCAGTAGTCATTAACTGCGAAGATCAGACGATCAACTCGCTCAAACTACGAGTTGCTACATAAACCTCGCAGAGTAACTTATATAGTAACATCACACGAGTGTAAAGGTTATATACACAATTTTGGTTTTACACTTTGTCTATGGCGGTTTAGTAGCGGATTCCTGCAGCGAGAAACGTTTGGTGTATCATATGTGCTTAAATCAATATAACCATTTCTTAAATTTTCTTAACCTCGGTAATGAAAAAAACATTATTTGACTGACTTACGTAATGTTACTATTACAGTATTTTTGGAATAGAAATTAGTGATCTTGATATACAAGAAAAATACAAAATAGGCAAATTGTATTCGTTAGTTGAAATAAATTTACAAAATAATTATGTGTATGTACATTGTACAGTCGACTGGTTAAATTTGAATAGTCGCGTAAATACGACTGCGTTAAAAGAACAAGTCTTCTTATCTTTTTTTGCCCGATCTTCTAATAGGTTGGCCTATGCGTGGTACTGATACCGTATGACGTGTTATATAGAAGCATGGGGTGGTAGGCTTAATATAATTTGTATGCAATAAATGTAGATCAAGAAGCGGCTCAGAATAGACAATAAGTAAAACACACTAATTCGTATAATATGACTTTATCTCCATTATTATAAATAAAATAAATCTTCATTATCGTCAATACAGTCCTTCACAGCAGTTGACGCTACATATAATTATAGGTTTCTCCCAAGGAATGCCACAAAGCATGGTCCTGAGCCACCTGCATCCACCGAACTCCCGAATGTTTTACCAGGTTGAAACTCTATCTAGTGGAGGGCCGCCCTACACTTCTCATACCGGTACGATATGGCTGTCACTCGAGAATATTTCTTCCTCATCGGTAGCCGGTTTTTCGAACTATATGGTTGTTCTATTACTACTTCAGCTTACTAATCTGATTAGCTATGTCAGTTACTCTGTTTTTAGCGCGTATATCATTATTTCTAACTTTATTACGCAGAGAAACCCCGAGTACAGCCCTCTCCATAGTTCGCTGAGCGACTTTGAGCTTCCTCATACGACCAGCAGTGAAGGAACACGCACTGTACAATAAAATGAAACTTACAAAAAGTTGATTAGCATAATTTAAATTTAAAATAATGTGTAGTAAGCGTCACAAAATATCAGCGTAAAATAGCAGCCTAATGCTGCTGTCCTTTGTGTGGCGATTGTAGAAAACTGGAGCCTTTTTTGAACTAGAAACCAGGAGTTCCATCTTAGTCCTCAGGTGTGACAATGCATCTGAATTTTGATTCCTAATCAAGAATAAATATACATATATACATAAATAACAGTGTGCTCATTTAACTCTGATTTCGATTTTGTTCACCCTGACTCTATAAAAAATCATAAAATATAAACTCTTGAAAATATTATACTGGATTTATGGGTAAACCCCATAGAATAAGGTCTACCTCATCGGGTTAAAAAGAAGTACGGAAACTCTATTGGGCTGCTATCATAATATGTATTACAATTGCAGTGTATGTTATATATATATATATATATATATATATATATATATATAACTATATACTATATAGAACTTTTTACCAGTCAAAACTAGTTTTGATTACTGCAGTCAAAAGGACAAACTAGTTTTTCCTGAGCCCGTTAGGATCAACTAGATGACGATGTCAGTATATTTGAAAAAGTAAAATCAAGTGCGATAAGTTTTGAACGTCGCCTCAAAGTACCTAACATACTCGATGTTTGTGTAACAGCATACTATAGTAGAGGTATGATATATAGCATACTTTTCATAAAAGTCGTGTGCAATTGTGATTGAAAAGTATTTTCCTACATTAGGGAGTTTTGCGTACAGGCATACTACACTTTCAATCAACACTATCTCCCACATCAACAATCAACACTATTCCACACAACGTATGAAATTTCAAGTTTCACAGAGCACGTGGTAGAGCCATGCTTCAGCTATATTGTGGTTGCAGCACGAATGGGTCAGCTCGATCGGGGTAGGATCACGCTCTCTCAGAATACGAGCGTAAAATAGCAGCTTAATGCTGCTGTGTTTTGTATGGTGAGTGTAGATAATCTGAGACCCTTTCTACTGGAAACGAGGCATTTCATCTCTGTCCTCAGGGCTAGCAACGCATTTGCATTTTAATTTTAATTGAAGAAAAATGTAGATTTCTATGGGCCACAGCATCCACTGACCATCAGGTGGACTGTGTGCTCGTTTATCACCAATCTATAAAAAAATGTTAGAGAAATAAAAAGCGACTCCTGCATCAGTTTCTCTCTCTCGCCTCTTGCTATATTCTTATTGTATGGGGTATTGGATTCGAATACTCCCCCACTACTACTACCAAGAACGTATATTAATTCATCCATATGAACGTATACCATCACCTATTATACTTCTCTAATCTACCGCTGAAAATAAATAACGAAAATGCTGCTTTATGATATTTTTTAATTTGTTTCAGAACTTCTCCAAACACCAAGTTAGACACTACAACCATTCAAAACTTCACTACGGAGTGTGCCTTACAACAACATGTGCGGAATATTACTATAACGGTGATGAAAACCGGGACTTACGGGTAGCCCTTGAAGGATGCCTAAACAATACGTTTTGGAAAAAATATAAGTTGAAAACAAAATTATTGGAAGTCGTTGATTACAATAATGTAGATAATAAATTAAATATAGGATATGGAGACTATGCAGTAGCTATACTTTGTTTTGCTCTGTTGATGATGAATCTTATTGGAAGCATTTACGATATATTCTATATGCAAACACGTGAAAAAGAAGGTAACTATTTTTGAATCAATAATTTATATAGCACCGCGATCTCATTTACATATTTGTCGCAGGTTAGTGACAAAACCTAGTCTGAAGACAAAATTACAAGGGACGTTCAATGTATTCTCGGTATTAGGGTGATTTGCTAAGAATGTGGGAAATTAAAAAATCATTGGCTAACGACACTACCTGAGGGAATAAATATGAATTTTCTTCTTGATAACTTCATTAACTCTTATGTAACCTTCAGTTATAGACAATGGAAAGGACTGACTCGACAATGTTGAAAAATATCTAACACCGTGTGGTAATTAAATTTCTCATTAAACTAAGGTTGGCCGTTTTTCAATACTCTGCTCTGACTCCTTCAATGTCAACCGTACAGATGTAGTCAAGTGTATTAAAAAGAGGCAGAGAAAGCATCGAAGATGACCCCTGACCGAGTGGGAAAATTACATCGGCTGCAGAACAAATTGTGAAAATTATTGAAAAACTTATATAAGAAGATTCTAATACAAGTTTATCAACAATTTTCACTAGTAAGAATTAAGATGTATGTAGAAATGACTAAGCTACATATTGGTACCATACACAACATGTTGTATGACTATCTCAACCTCACGAAAGTCAGTGCTAAATGGGGGACGCGAATGCTCACTGCGCTGTGTTTTAAAAGCAAGCGCGGGTTGACTGTTGTAGGAAGTTTTTAGAGATGTATAGTGACGAGCCAACAAGTGTTTTCAATAAGATAATTACAGAAGATGAAACATGGATTCACCACTATGACTCTGAGAGTAAACAGGAGTCTATGCAATGGCATAAAAAGGGATCAGACCCCCTTAAGAATTTCAAAGTCATTCCATCAGCTGACAAAATCATGGCCAGTGAATACTATTGATCGAATATACAAAAAAGGTTGAAACCATAAACACAGACTACTCAGCCATATTACGCAGAGAAACTTAGAGCTCTTATAGCCCTCTCCAGAGCTCGCTGAGCAACTTTGAGCTTCCTCATAAGGCCAGCAGTGAAGGCCCACATCTCAATTCATTAGTCATCACTGGCAACACGCTCTGTACAATAAAATGAAACTGACAAAAAGTTTGTTAGCATAATTTAAATTTACATTAATGTGTGCTGAGCGTCACAGATAATCAGCGTAAAATAGAAGCCTAACGCTGCTGTCCTTTGTGTGGCGATTGTAGAAAACTGGAGACTTTTCTGAACTGGAAACCAGGAATCCCATCTTAGTCCTCCGGTGTGACAATGCATCTGCATTTTGATTCTTAATCGAAAATAAATGTGGATATCCATAGGCCACAGCATCTACTAATCACAGTGCTGGACAGTGTGCTCGTTTCACCGTGATTTAGATTTCGTTCACCCTGACTCTATAAAATCATAAAATCATAAAATATAAACTCAACTTGTGGGTAAGTTGCACAAGTTGTTTGTCTCACCCACCAACAAGTTGCCTTCAATCATTCAAAGGTGGGAAAGCTACAGAGATATATTATTATATTGTTATATAAAACATCATGGAGGTCAAATAGTCTGCGGCCCCGTAATGAAGGGATCCGACTTGGGCAAAGCTACTTAGGCGTGAGTCAAACCAAGACGCAAAGAGCGCTATTGAGAGTAACGTCCCACCAAACAAACATCGCAGAGACAAAATGTTGCTGAACGCAACCAGCATCAATAGGTCTATCGTCGGGCTTACACACTCAGGAAGTCCCCCATACATCAAAGCAGACTTCAGCCCCTGCATACCTCCATCGAGCAGAACCACAAGAATGCGTCGAATCAGGCGCAACACACGACGCCACATCCATCACAAGACGCAATACCGCAAGTAGCAGCAAGCATCAATGCAACTATCATACGGATGGCGCTCTCTCACAACACACCCAAATGATCCCTATCGACTTTGGTAACAAAATTAGTATTGTTGTTAACTTAAAAATAACACCGACGTATCATAGTAGCACGCTACTAAGACGCTAGTTAACAAAACTCACGTATTATAGTGCTAATGCACTAAGACATGAAGTTGAGCATGCTTGTTACACTTAAAAGTGCTGCCAAATACACTCATCCGATTCCGAAAGATAGACGATGCATCGGTATGCACTACAACGCCACCCACAAACGGTATGGTTATGAGATGTACACGGCAAAGACGTATTGCTACAACAGACCTGCTTACCACCAGCACTAAGATATTGTTAACTAAAAACTGCACCAACGTATCATAGTAGCACGCTACTAAAACGCCAGTGGACAAAACTCAACGTATCATAACGTTAATTGCACTAAAACATGAAGTTGGGCATGCTTGTTACACTTAAAAGTGCTACCAAACACATTCATCCCAATCCGAAAGAAAGACGACGCATCACTATGCGCTACGACGCCGCCCACAAACAGTATGGGTGAACGATGTCCACAGGAAAGCCGTATTGCTACAACAAACGAGCGGTTTTAAGATGATATGTCCAGGACACAACAGTTAGTGAGTCCAAGTTTACCTCGGTCTCAGTTACTCTTGAAGCAGCATACACGCCACTATAATAATCCTTTTCAAGTCCCATTTCTATTGATACAATGCTTTTACTTATTTGAGACCTTCCACATATATGCTTTATTTCATAGACCTTATTAATATATGTCTTTAATATATAGGACTTCAACCCATAACTATGCTATCATAACGCTTATGCATCAGAGACCTTCTATAATAATGCTTTTGTATCGTAGACCTTGTTATATGTCTTTAATATATGGGACTTCAACCCACAACTCTAGTATTATAATGCTTATACTTTATGCTTTAATATAATAGACCTTACTATCTTAAGTCCCTAATATAGGACTAGTCATTGTGTAACACTATTTCAAGCAGTCGGTCACTTGACCACCCCATGTAATGCTTATGCATCATAGAGACCTTCTATAATAATGCTTTAATATAATAGATCTTACTATCATAATTCCTAATATAGGACTAGTCATTGTGCAACAGTACTTCAAGCAGTCGTTCACCCGACCACCCCATATATTATTTACGACCTTGGGTATGCGTCTCCGGCATCTCCTCCATACAAGCCATCTATCTATACTTGAACACCCTCCATAACTTCTTTTATATACCTACTCCTTCCAAAACTTTACTTTTAACCAATTTTCTAATTATTTTATAAATGTTATTTATCTTTTTACAAGTCTTTTAATAAATTTATTTACTTTAAATGACAATATTTTGCCTTTAACTTACTGTAATACTTAATGTCTGAAATGTATTTATTTTAACTTTTTGCTTATTAATGTAATTTTATCGTTTAATATATATCTTTTAAGACCATTTTTTGACGCCCCTTATGGCAGCTCATTAGTATGCTTTCGAAGTACATGCAAGTAGTAGAATTTTGATTATGCCAAATCTGTTATTCATAAAATTAACAATAAAGTCATGACGATTTTGTAGCCATGAATATAACTTATTTTTAGCTTTCTTTATTTTCTTGATATAAGACAATCATTACGTAAATATCTGTGAGAGCCCTGGTTGGTAAAGTCTTTAAATGAAATTACTCATTAAATTTTTTTCTTTATGTTCACTTTTTGAACGAATAGTTTTTTTTTATAGAATGAGGGTTAAAACGAGTCACACATCATCACAGTCCACCTGATGGTAAGTGGATGCTGTGGCTCATAGTCATCTAACATGTATACTCGATTAAGAATTAAAATTCAGATGCGTTGCCGGTCTTGAGGACTAAGATAGAATGCCTGGTTTCCAATAGATCTCCGGTCTCTATACTCACATACGAAACACAGCAGCATTGAGCTGCTATTTTACGCTGGTATTCTGTGAGAGCGTGGTTCTACCCCGGTCAAGCTGACCCATTTTTAATACAACCATAATATAGTTATAGCATGGCTCTACCACTTAAAAAATAAAAAAGTGTGACTATTTATGATTTGCGTTTAGTTATTAGAGTTATTTTAAACTTATCAATTGTATTTGAAATTTTCAGGCAACAAGGTTCTTTTAGCTTTCTCTATCAAGCGTAATTGGGAAAACCCCCCGACTTTGATAACCCTCGTTTAAACCGCTTAAAAGTATTTCACGGTATCAGGTGAGTTTTTATATTACAAGAATTGACAGTGCTATAAACATTATAGTATATACAAATTCAATTCTATGTACGTCTATAAATATAGAGAGACTGAATTCCTGACCGGAATAGGTTCCAAACAGTTTACAGTGATCTAATGTCGGACACGTTCTCATAATTTAAATTTTTGAAGTATTTGAGTATTGGGTTACTATCGCTCGATAGTAAATGTAAATTAAATTATTATAAATTATTAACTTCTAACTTCATATTTTTCCTGGCGGTAAAAAAAAAACAGATAAAATTACAGCATATAAAATCCGTCACCACATTTCGTTTCGTGGACGTTACAAGAGGCGGCTATAGAAATGACTAGAAAGACCTCGATAGATGCCGGTATATAATTATGTCTACCCTCTTATCATTATCCTTACGGAACATTACGGAAATAGATGTAGATTTCTTTTATTTAATACGGGTGACAAACGAGCACACAGTCCACCTAATGGTAAGTGGATTCTGTGGCCCATACACATTTATCCTGTATTAAGAATGAAAATGCAGATGTGTTCTCACCCTTTAGGACTAATATGGAATGCCTCGTTTTTAGTAAAAATGGTCTTCGGTTCTCTACACATATGGTCACGATATAGTATACGGCCCACTGCATACACATTAAATACAACAACATTAAGCTGCTATTTTACGCTGGTATTCTGTAATAACGTGGTCCTAACCCGATCGTGCCGACTCATTCGTTTTTCAACGAAAGTATGGCAGCAGAGTGGCTCTACCATGTATAAAAACTAGTGAAAAAAAATGAGTCATTACGTCAAATGTGTTCGCAGGGTCATTTACACGTACGGTTTTCTGTGTAGCTCCTACGGCACATGACGGTTTGCAACCAACACCTTATAAAGAAGGCCACAGACGTCTTATCACTTCTGAGAACAGATAAGATGTCTCCAAGTCTTAGAGAAAAAAAAGGTTATTTACGTAGCATAGACTAAGAACTAATGTTATTGATATTCATTTCAGGACTATAACAACGGCTTTGGTCATAATAGCACATTCTACCTTTCCATTTACGAATATTCCGAAAAGCACACGTAATCTTGAAGCGGTACGTAATTTGGATTCTCAATTATTTCTCATTTTTATACAATTATCGTCACGTGACTGTGGGCTTAGTTAATAAATGACAAACGGACACGCAGTTCACGTATAGTCATAACTAGACCTGGGTCTCTCCTGATTGTAGGGAGGTCTTGCTTAAATTATCAGGCTTATATCAAGCGCACTACATTTTTGACGCTACTACTCATCGCTGGTTAGGGTATTTTATGTCTGACGTAAATGAGGCAGGGCAGCTTTGTTCAAACAAGCTAAAGAAAGCGCCGAAGATTACTGGAGGAGCGAAAGGCCGTTTCCATCCATTACGTCAGAAATCATCGATAAAATCCACGAAATCGGTTTAACCTCTCAGGTACCAAACCTGTACATTGGATAATCAAATATCGCCTTTGTAGATTGCGCCAAAAAGTATAGTAATTATTCAGAAGGGGTCCCCCCTTAGAACCAAAGAGTATACATACAATCACTACGTTTACTCAGTACCATATATAAGAGCGCTCATAACGATTATTTCCTAAATGTTATTTATCATATACAAAAAAAGATTTTTTCGTACTGAATACCTTCTCTAAGGAGAGTCCCTAGATAACTTGTCACCTCTCGAACTGAGATGAATTAAAAAAAATTATAATTTAATGTCACAGCAAGCCACGCTGTTCGTAAAACAATATATGTGTATTATAACATATATACGCACACGCACACATATATATACATATATAAAATTGAAGGGGCGATAAATCTATACATAATTCATAATTATTTATTCATAGAATATATATTATTACAATATATTATTATATAGTATTACAATATTATTATGAAATCAGTTATTATTATTAAATAAGAGAAGTTAATTATAATTAAATCATAGAAGCGCTGGAACACATATTGAATAAGAAGAGGATAATATGTGTGTGGGTATAAAGGTCAAGAAAAAACCGAATGAATATGTCGGAAGACATAATGGTTTTTTGACATTTTCCATTATCCTATACCTTTAAACGAGCATTTCTTGTATATTTATATATTTATATATATATATATATATATATATATATACATATATATACATATATATATATATATACAATATATAATCTCGGAAACGGCTTCTACGATTTTCATAAAATTTTGTGTGCAGGGAGTTTCGGGGGCAATAAATCGATCTAGCTAGGATTTATTTTTAGAAAATGTCTTTTTGTCCGTGTTTTTAAGCAATGAAAAACTGCTACAATATCGTTAGAATAAGAAGGTAAATAGTTTATTAACGATTACAAATAGCTTAATTGGTATATTGGGCGGTTACAAAATCGTAATTCCATGGTTCGAGCCCAAACCGACCGACCGACTTTTTTTATTTTTTTTTTCAATTTCATTTCTATTTTTTAAAAACACGAAAATTTAAATTAAACTAATTGCACTCATGATTTTTATTCAAATAACCAGTTCAGTTTTTTTCTATTATGTCGCTAAGATCAAAAAATATTATTCGTATTTCATCAGTATGTAATTTGTATCTAAACATAATTTCCAAAACACACGAATTAAAAAAAAAACCGAGCGAAAAATTACCGAGCAAAGCTCGGTCAACCGGGTACTTGTCTCTTAAGACACCAACAGGATGAAATCAGGTGATGGATTTTCTTAAGCCATCACCACACGACCAATTTAAATCCATAATTTTTTTAAACATACTTTTGTACGCAGATTTTGTAACTCTCGTCTTGGGGGTTATGTTGCAATAGTTGCCACACTTGGCAAGTAGATTGGTATATATATATATATATATATAGATTGGCAGTCTTTTGTTGTTATTTTGCTATTATCAGAAAGATGCTGCTGCCTATCTTCTGCCTTAGTTTCACTCTGTTGCCTCTTACGATACCTATGGGAAAACATGGTGTAGTAGATATTCTTACCCGCCACTACATGAGCTAGTTAGTTACACTAAAGTGCGAAACAAGATCGACGTCATAAAAATAGAGAATTTTTGTCTGCACTTTACATTGTTTTTAAATTAAAATAAATTTAAATGTTTCAGGTCTATGACATTCTACCGTACCACACTTTTATAAACGGCACACTCGTCGTTCAGGTTTTCTTCCTAATGACTGGCTTTCTGCTGGCCTTCACCGTACAGATGAAATCGGAAAAAATGAATTTTACTTGGGTCATGATACCAATTGAAATTTGCAGGAGGTGGTTGAGGTATGTTATTAGTAATTAATTGTGGATCAAAAATCGAAATTAAAAGGGAATAATATAATTCGCATATTTCAATTCCATTCCTTATATACTCGTATATATAGCAAGACTAGAGTTAAAAACGAAAAATGTTAGAATAAAATGCACGAAAATAGCATGAATATATAATTGGAGAGTTGTTGTCGAACTCTCCCGCGGTGAACAGCCATACCGATTTGAGGTGGGTGGAGGGTCCAACTACGGTTACCACATTATTTTTTTATAGGAGAGGGGGCAAACGAGCATGCAGCTCACCTCATAGTAAGTGACTACTGCCGCCTATGAATAACTGCAACACCAGGGAAATCATAGATGCATTGTCGGCCTTTTGTTGAAGTTATATGAGAAAGAAAACTTCTTCTAAATCGTACAGTGGTGGTCCCAATCATACAGATGATATGAATGATATTGTAAGTTTTGTCGCAATGTGCGATGGTGAAATTAGCTGGTATTAGTTCGAACAATTCCTCAGAGAACTCCCCGTCATCGAAGTGATAAAGTACGAAAATCGATGCAACATCTCTCTGCAGTGCCAGTAAGTCAAGGCAATCAGAAAGAACCCGGTCGCCGACGATTCGAATCGCTCTGCACTGGATGCGATTAATTGGAACGACTGAGGAGCCCCACCCCAGAGATGGGAATAGTATTCCCTGTGAGGCTGAGCCTGCGCTTTATAAGGTTGCAGACGGTGTGCCGGCATGAAATATTGTTACGCTCTGCTGAGCACACCAAGCTTTTTAGTGGCCAATTAAGTCTCCTCTTCCAAGTGTCCACGACACTGCACGTTACTCCATATGACGACGCCGAGGAATCCGATACTGGCTGAGGCTCGAGAGGAGTGCCCTCAAACTGAGGAAATACGACAAAGTCGTTCTTTTAAGCGGTAAATACACAAACTTATGTCTTCAGCGGATTTAACTGGACTAGATTTAGCCGCCCCCATTTTAAGACTTTGTTCAACAATGTCTCGACTTCGAACACAAGCTTGTTCCGGTACTTGGTACATTTTTCGAGAAATATTGGCACGGCCGGTGTATGAATCTTCACCAGTGCTGTACTCATAGCAATTAATGTCACCGGTTTGCAACACGTCAGTCACCTCAGTCCCCCGTGACCGTGGGTGCTGGAAAGCACCCGAAACGTCGGGTATTAAAAATAACATAAATAAACGTGATACAATCCGTAAAAGTAGTTTTAATCAATAGTATCTAAGTTGATGGGTGCTTACTATTTCTGCATTGTTGCAACAATCGTTTGTGTACTTAAATAAATAAATAAAACTTTTAAGCTATAGTGTGTAACACAAAATATGCATATAATCTTATAGTATGAGTTTGTTCAGCATACAAGATTTTATAGGGAGAATTCATATTTTTACCAAACTAATCAACCACTCACAATTTTTAAAACAACAAAAGTACCTAGTATATAATCGCGATATTTTAAAATATTTAAAACTTACTATTTTTTATAGGTATATGCTGCTGTTAAGACTAAAATAACGTTAAAAAGCTAACTATTTGATTTTCTGAATTACAGGTTAACTCCTGTATACGCGGTTGTGTTGGCCATCACATCTACTTGGTTGCGTTTCTTCGGATCCGGTCCTATGTGGAATGTAAGTACTATATTTTATTATAGACGATAAACATACTTATCGTCATCATCATCATTACGGCCTATCAAGATCCACTGCTGAACATAAGCCTTTCTATAGATTGCCTGATACGGGGAGCTGCTAAGCTTGGCTGGCGAGTCGGCAGCTGCTGTTTTTTATTATTATATAATTATATTTCTACAAAAACGCTTCGATCCTTTTGAGACACCCGCGGTTCGATATGGAGTAATGAATATGAGTATACTTACACAGCTACACGGTTGACATATATTTTATAATTTAATAATTATAAACATAGGTACATTATAAATAAAATATAATTATAAATATATAAATAGTCTGCCTGGGTATCTAACATTTTATTTATATAAAACATAAACACTCACGCCTTTCACCCAGAGGGGTAGGCAGAGACTACAGACTTCCATTTGGCATGATGCTGACACACCTCTCTCGTCTCCTTCACATCCAGACACCTACGCATACATGCTCGTCGGTTAAGGGTACTCCTAATTTGGCCCGTTTTCAATAAATCCCCAATTTGGTCGATAAATTTTCGCCTAGGACGTCCCTTTCCGACTCTGCCATTAACTTCTGCAACATAAATTTTCTTTGTCACTCTTTCCTCATTCATTCTTTCCACATGACCAAACCACCGAAGCATTCCTTTCTTAATCCTGGTCACAACATCATCTTGCAAACCACAGTCTTCTCTTATTACACAATTTATTTATATATTTAACATTAAACTAGTTCACAATCAATTAAAAGGACTCATCATAATTTGCCGTCTTGTTACAAAAAGTAGCTTTTAATTATTTAGTCTCCGGCTTAAACTAGAGATTGTATCTATAAAAAATTTCCATAGAAAAGATGGAAAATAAAATTTAAGGTATGATTTTGAGAGCAAATGTCAAATTACGACAAAACTGCGGCTATGGGACTTTATTCGTGACAAAGATTCTTCTTTAAACCCGACGCTAGCAATAAGCCACGTTTTGTAATAAGACTAAAAGCGTTTCTGCACGAGCACTTAACTCAACATGAAATTGCTTCCAGTAGCCCAGTTAAAAAGATATGTAAAAAATAAATAAGATACCTATATGAAACGACTTAGGCACCTTCAAGAAAAAAGGTTACTCTTTTAAAAGACCGGCAATGCACCAGCAATTCCCCTGGTGTTGCGATTGTTCATAGGCGGCAGTAGTCACTAACCATGAGGTGAGCTGCATGCTCGTTTTTTTATTCGTTTTGAAAACGTTTTTTTATTCGGATTGCCCCCTCTTCTATAAAAAAAATTAAAAAATATTGTCGTAATACCTTAGTTTACTTTAAGTTTGTTATTACGAATCACATTTAAACTTTAAGAAACATTTTATATTCATAAACATTATATGATTCACTACATTTTCTACCCAAGCCCACTGCAGTACACACTTCTTCCACAAATTTTCCGGTTGTCTGGTAGAAAACGCCATATGGAATAACTCCGCCGGTTGTAACTTTAGTACAAAACTGAACACAATATATATTTATATACAATATACTAGTTCCTATCTCAAATATTAAAGAGTTATAAGAAACGTATCGGAAGGTGAAATGAAACGAGCGCCCCCCGCTAGATGAAATGACGACCTGGTAAGATATGTAGGAATTTGATGAAGGTGGTACAGGAACGTGGGAAGTGGCATTCCTTAGGGGGGGGGGGGGCTGCGTTCTGCAGTGGTCTTGGGATCGACTATGATGATGATGACGATGATAGCTATATTACAGGTTAAGCAACAGTAGCCTAACGGTAGGTTGCGGACCTCAAACTCAAAAGATCGGTCGTGGGATCGAATCCGCTTTTCGACTACTGTCGTAAACCACTTCATACAAAATCATTTTTGAACTTATTAGGAGTGGTTACAGGGAATTTTAGTAATGTAAATATCATTGGTAGTATTTATATATAAAAAAAGGAAAAAAACGTCATATTTTGAAAACAGTCACAGATTTGATTTCACGAATCGAATTTTAAAGAACTTTTACCTTTTATCTGATCAAATCAAATCACTTTATTTTCGGACAACATAAATCCATTTTAGTTCCTGCATGCCACGTACAGAGAATTTTTCATTACAACTATACAATATTTCGCAAGCTTGGTTGAAGGCTTTGCTTAGCGATTTTGATATAATACAAAAGTTTATTTCAAAATTACTATGCAGAGTTTTAGATTTAGTAGGTAACACTCCACATGACGGCTGATGGTCACAGCAGCTTTCTGACTTCTGTAGTCCCATATATTCAACCTCAAACAAAGATGGCAGACGCCGCTGAAGTCTTAGGTGGAATTTTTTCACAGCCAATAATTATATACACTTTCCATACCAGTTGGCTATGATATCGCTAATACATATGACATGCAAATAAAACATACAGTGCGAAATTGTGTAAAGAATATCTTTACGTTCCTGTCATTCTATAAGACACGTTTGTTGCTAATATACGTAAATTGTTGTTTTTAAATTTCAGGAAGAAGTAGTAAAAGAAGCCGAAGACTGTCGTTGTATCGCTTGGCGGAACTTGCTTTATATTAACAACTATTTCGACGACAAACAATGCTTAGTGCAGGCTTGGTAATATTTATGTTGAATAATATTATATTCCTCTTCACCAAAAATCCCTCACGAGACCGGCTTATGGTTACGCTTGCAGGCTGACATATCCAGACGTCTCGTCTTATTAATCCTGCTACCCCTCGCTATTCTGGATATACAAAAAGAACGTTTTTACGTCTGGCATAAACAAGATGAACATACCGCCATCAATGAAAAGTCCTGATATCTTTATAGCATATACATACATTCATAATACAGCAAAACTTTTGAAACCGGCTGGAAAACGAGTACTTGAAGTCCTTCCGAAGTTCTTTAATTCCGTCCGTCATGTTGGAACTACTCCGAATGCGCGGAGCAGAAGTGAACTACAGACCAATTTCCCTTCAGAGTGGCGAAATTAATCTAGAAAATTGACTAGATTAATTTCGATTCGTCTTGCATGCAGACTCGACGACTTCCAGTCTTCCGAAAAAACCGATTTCCGAAAAAGCTTTTGCACTACTATGATCACTTACATACTCTTTGGCAAATTGTACAGAAGACCAGAGAGTACAATCTGCCACTTCGTCTTGCGTGTGGTGGAGGAACTGAAACAGGCCATTGATACCGTCACAATTCGGGCGTTGCTCCACTTCCTACATTGGTGCCAAGTTGGCTGTTCATATATCTAAGTACTGAAGTGTTTCCATAGTAAGGCTGTGATGGTTTTCCGAGTACAAAACCAGAGTACAAAACCTATCTAAATGCAAAGAGGTGTAAAGCACGGTGACGTTATTTCCTCGAAACTCACCGCTGCATTGGAAGACGTTTGCATTGCTACTGGACTGGAAAGGATACCGTGTTAGCATCAATGGTGAGAACATAATTCACCTTAGATTTTCCGACGATATTGCTATTATGGCAGAATTATTGGACAAATTATCTTTTACTACCCAACATCTTCATGAACATGTACTAAACAAAATCATGTGTAACGTTCATGTCACACCTATGCTGCTAGTTGTTGGGAGCACCAAGCTCGAAGCTGTTTGCAGGTAGGTTTTCTTGTGACAAATAGTCTGACTAGGTAAGTCCAACTTTCACCGAGAAGTTAATCGACGAATTTAACTCAGCTAGGCAGCGTTCGGGGAATTACGATACCTCTTGTCGTCAGGTATACCTCAAAACTTGAAAAAAAAGATTGTACACCCAGTACGTGATGCCACTACTGGTCGTATATGGAAGCTAAGGTTGCTCAGCGACCTATGAAGAGAGCTACTCTCAGGGTTTTTTTAAGTGATAAACTTAGAAATGAGGATATCCACAGTATAACCAGAGTAATCGCATAACCTAACGGATTAGTAAGCTGAACTGGCAATGGGCCAGCCATAGATAATGCCTAGGGTATTAAGTCCGCCTATATACATTCCAGTGTATATGAAGTTAAATAAAGAAATAAGTTTTTGTACTTTGAAAAAGACATTAGACTGTAATAATAGATGAAAACTCAAGACCAAAGGAAATAATATGGTCGAACAATATGGTAAACAAAAAAATTACATGCTACATTTGCACGGAACTAATGTTATTATATTATAAACTAAAAATATAAGCTAATAAACCGCTTTAGTGCTAAATTTATCCATTAAATAATTTATAACTTGGCTAAAATCCGGAGTGAACCTGATCCTTTCATTCGAACAAGTGTATTTTTTATTTGTATTTGTTTCTCTCTATCTGGAGCGTGATCTTTTCCTATTCATGCTGTAGTCATAAATATTTGACTGTTTGTATAACTTTTATTATCGACAGGTACTTAGCGGCTGACATGCAACTATACTGCCTTGGTGTTTTCATATGCTTAATGGTGACAAATAGTACCGTTAGAAAAGTAGTGCTGTCGCTACTGTTCGCAGCTGGTGTAATAATTCCTGCTGTTGTGACCTATGTAAAGGATTTGGACGCTGTTCTTATAGTTTCACCTGAGTGAGTCAAAACTTTTTATAATATATAAAAATATAAGAAATATTATTTTGTAAAGAATGATACTTCTCAGAAAATAGATTCTAAAACAGAGACCAGCGAAGAACCCAACAATGGTCCTGTTTTTGGTCCTGTCAGGAATTTGCATTTCGAAAAAGCAAGAATCTGGGTTTATTTTAAAAATAGCCTAGAGGTAGGGCAGACAAAACAACGTGAATTGATTCGTTCTTATTTATAACGTATAACTGATAAAGTCCTGACCCAGATAATACCCAGAATATTACCGTGATCTACATCCCACCTCAATAATCTTCCAATACTTAATTAGCGAGAGCCGTGGTAGCTCACATGGTTAACGCTCGCTGTAAATGTAACAGGACGCGGGTAACCCGGGTTCGATCCCCACCGGTACCAATAAAGTTGTTAATTGCAATTTTAAGTGTGATTTACCACGTGCTCGGCGGTAAAGGAAAACATCTTAAGGAAACCTGCATGTCTGAGGAATAAGAAAAAAAATGTTTCGAAGACATGTGAAGTTCGCCAACACGCATTGGGGCAGCGCGGCGGACACTTCCTTGCCCTTAATCCCTTTCAGAAATGAGGGGGAGGCCTGTGCCCACCAGTGGGACGTTTATAGGCTGTAACTTTACTTTACTTTACTTTATGGTTTTCCGGGCATTTCTGCGTATTCTTACAATAAGTTGATCATGGTTTCGGCGTTGTGGAGTATTGTCTATCTTTCTTGGTTTTTTCGGTAGAGGATTACATCAACAGCATTATATCACGATACTCATAATGAACATAATTATATCGGATCAAACTGTCTTCCCCAAGGAATGCCACAAAACATGATCCTGAGCCACCTGCATCAATCGACTACCTACATGTTTTACTAGGTCATCACTTCATCTAGTGGGATCTAACCTACATTCAACTTAACAGTACAAAGCTGCCACTCGAGAACCTTTCTAGTCAAGGGAACTCTTCAGAGAGAAAGTAAACCAGAAGATGGACGATAGCATCTTTCTGATAACAAATAACTGCGAATACCAACCAGCCTGCCAAGCATGGTCACTATGGAAATGTACCACGGAAATCATAAATAAATCAAAATATCTGCGAGCATTTTGTAAATGAAATTACTATTTTAGTTTAAAAACGGTGCAATTTTACACGTCTTTTCAAATATTCATAACTCATTTCACATTAAAAATAGAAAGATAAACTTATTTCTTGATGGATATAATATATTCGAATATCCTGAAGCAGTATGTGTGGCGGACGTGACAGCCCTAGCTGCTGGCGGTGTCACGTTGCTGTTGGTGAGGGTGTAGATTATTTAACCAAATACATGAGAGAGTTGACATATTCATATGTCAACTCTCTCATGTATTTGGTACCAATAAAGTTGTTAATTGCAATTTTAAGTGTGATTTACCACGTGCTCGGCGGTAAAGGAAAACATCTTAAGGAAACCTGCATGTCTGAGGAATAAGAAAAAAAATGTTTCGAAGACATGTGAAGTTCGCCAACACGCATTGGGGCGGCGCGGCGGACACTTCCTTGCCCTTAAACCCTTTCAGAAATGAGGGGAGGCCTGTGCCCACCAGTGGGACGTTTACAGGCTGTAGCTTTACTTTTCAACTTTTACTTAATTAGCGCTTAATTCCTTACTATTACTTGAATATTTATCGTATATCTATTATCGTAACTGCGTTGTTAGCGATACGTTTTGCTAGCAACGCAAATTTCAACAGTTCGTTGTGGTGAAAATTTTAGAGCACCAAATTTTTAAACTTAGCATTTAATTAGCACCTAAAAAGCCCCTAATTTTGTTTTTTTCTAAATGCAAATTCCTGACTTTGCGTTGCTGGCGAGACACAACTTCCATCAATGGGTCAAATTCCTTGTATATAAGTTCCTTGACCCTTGATGGGTTTGTGCCTGCTAAAGACAACTGAGTGTGTAATCATTACTGCTCTGGATACTAAATGTTTAAGATTTTATATGATTTGATTTTATCTCTATCTGTCAGGAGATTCGTGTCATTTGTTGGCTTTCCCCACGCACACATTTTAAATCTTGACTTTTTAAAATTACAGAATATAATTGGGTGATGGGTTAAGTCTCCCCACATTGCCGACTTATTAATTTACAAGTTAAGAAGATGCAAATGCTTTTCTTATTAACCTGACGAAATTGGTTTTCAGAACATGTATACACTACTTTATCAAGGACCCAACTTTCAACTACGTCTATAAGCGTGGGCACACTAACTTGGCAGGTTTCATTATCGGCTTAAGCATGGGATATATTACTTATCATTTATTGCGCATCAACTTTAATGTCGAGAAGTATAAGGTAGTGTATGCTTTATATTATAATATATGCCCGATAGATTATAGTTATACTATAATCTATCGGGGCTATCACGATAAAAACTCTAAAAACTTTATGCTCCAGAAGCAATCGGTTTGAAAACAGAATTTCAAAATATTTTATGAATCAGATTTTCAGATTCAATTAGGCAGATATGGTTTCTTTTATACTCTTTTCGTTTCACCCTTATTGAATATAAAATATATTAGGTACCAATATTCAAAATTAAACTTATTCTAAGTTTTTTAGACAAAAATAAAACAGAAATAAAAATAAAACCGTCAAAAACGAAACGTATAGATAAACTAGACGCGTGACGCCAAAATCCCGCCACATGGGAAAAAAAGAAACATGAAACGTCAAACATGATATAATTTTTTTTTAAATAGTATAATTTTATTTTTCATGTACAATATTTTTGAGGGTCTGAATCCACCCATGGCCTAATATTGGTAACGTTACTAAACAAAAAATTTCATAAATTTCACAAAAATATTAACCATATCTTTCTAATATATTTGCAATCTTTACCACAGCTTGACATATTTACGACAGACAAATCTGTCCTGCGCGCGCACCGCTGTCGACGGATTCGCGTTCTGTAATTTTAAGGCCAGCGCACTTGTCCGTTTTAGTTGTTCGGTCGGCCCGGTCCTTACGCTAGTAATATATAAGTCAATGCTTGTATCCTATACCTTTTCTGGTCGATGATAATTATGATGTTGAATCTAGTATACATGACTTTGTGGCTCATTCCCCAAGTAACCACAATATATTATACTTGAGTACTACAAGAAAATGTGAACGTTGGTTCTTCATGTGCATTCTATTCGAAATATTTTTAAGATGCATATTTAAGCAACGTACCTAAAGTTGATGGAATATACCATAAAGAAAATTATATATTTGAGAATCAAAACATATATAACTAATCCGATTAGCCTTTTTCTGTTTAAATGAAATAAAATGTCCCTATAGACCTTTACTTTTGAGATTTGTAAGTATTGTAATTGTTATTATATCCCTTTTTGCTTTAAACTAATCAGTTAAATTATAACTAATAAATTGAAATGATCTGTTAAAACGAATGTAAGCCAAAACTATTTCCTCACTCACTGGCGTTATGCCGGCCATCATTTCACGACGGGGCTGCGCCCAGACGTGTTTATTACATGTCTAGCTAGCCAACGTTTTACCGCGTCTATTGTTTGCCGTCAGTCAAAAATTTCAAGTTAAGATTTTACACTCACGGTTAGTTTTTGGATTGACGTCAGTTCAACTGATCAGTTTATCTGACCGTGTGTATTGTGCTGCTTGACTCGAGCATAACACTTCATAAAATTTTGCCTAGAATGTTATATTTTGAATAAGGCGTTCGATAAAGAGAGCCTGTGCTTTCGGGTGTACTCATTCGTCAATTTAATTGCAAGACGGAAGTGATTTTGTTTGCACGTGAGTTCGGTGACTGGGTTCTTGTAACTTTCGTTAGCTTATATATAATAAATAAATAATATTATACATGAACAAATATTATTAAAGGAGACAATCGGGCATACTAGAAATTTGAACGACTCGCAATAATGTTACGCAAAAAAAATGATACCAATTTATTATTGCAAATAGCCTAAATATATTTGAAAATCTAAACGGAATCAAGAAATGTAAAAAAAAAGAGTTATTTTGATATTCGCGTTCAGGTGATTAATTTCAGTTCTGGAATGTAATATTTAAAAAATAGTTGTATTAGATATGTGCCAACTCGGAAGAAAATCGAAACGAGTTAACTCGAATTGAAATTTCGGTAACTCGAATTAAACTCGAGTTACTCAATTCAAATTACCTGAACGAAGCTGTGTCAATTTGTCTCAAATTATTTTTATATTTGTTCTTGCATACAACACAATTATTATTACTAAACTTAATAGGTAGTTATATATTTTTGGTTTGCACATCGACAAACTTCAAAAAATAGTAACACTCCGATCTTATGACGTAAGTCTTAATGTTATAATTTAATTATCACAAAATATACTTAATAAATTTATATTATAATATAATGTAAATTGATATTACATAATATGCGTGTTACATAATATCAATTTATATTGATATGACTTAATATATCAATAAATTGCTTGATGAAATTAAATGTAAATATTAACCCTTAACTGATATATATATTTTTAACCACGTGAACGGTATACATGGGTCTAATTTGACCGAGCTATATTATGTAGTGTATAAATTGTATATGGTAATTTTTATAAAACATTTTTCTTATTTACACTTATTTATCCTATTATTTATATAAACTAAGTTCGAAAATATTTGATAATAATGTTAATTACACAATAAAACACAAATGTTCAAGAAGACAAACTTTTATCTGTGAAAAAAAACATTTACTACAATTAAAATTAATTTAATTTTTTTCCTAATTAAATCTTTTAAACTCAAAATAATTTCTCTACAAAACTTAAATTAAGACTTCTGGAAAAATAAAATGACTTCACTTTTCTTATTAGAAAAAAAAAAACAACAAAAAATAACAATCATCATTTCTGGTCAAATTTCCAACTAAAGGATCGTGATCGTGATGGTTGTGGTGGTGGTGGTGATATTAGTGGTTCACCACAAATGAGCTCGATATTTTGTGGACCAATCGCAGCTAAACTACTCGCAGTGTCGCAACGTGATGACTCCTCCTAGTTATCCTCCAAATCACTTAGTTCAGACACTGAGTCGTGATCAATATGTTCGGAGCAGTATTCGCCATAGTCCGAGCACTATCACACTCATCAAGCCACCGCAGTATTCGTTCTTCTTCATTTTCCGCCATTTTCAAACTTCGCCTCCGAAACAAAAAGTTACACTTAAGGTATACATATGTAGGTCAAATCTGACCCGAGGGCGCACTTGCGTTGTAGTGTTCTGTGCGACCGAGGAATACAGGGCGTTTTTAAACAAATAAGTAATATATCAGTCATCCTTTATGTTACACACTACTTATACGAAGTAACAAAAAATAATCAGCAATGATAATACAACCACGATTTTATGAATAAAACTAAGTTCACATTTGTTTACAACATGCCGGATGCAAGTTTGAATTTGGATGCAACCTGTGATGTCGCCCGCGGCGACTTATACTCCAAGAAAATTAGTGAAGTTACCACCATCCAATCCATCTAGCACTCTGCGAATCTATATGTTGCGCTGGGTTGACTCGGTAACTCGGTAAAATTTATTTCCACTCGATTACCGAGTTGGACAAATTCAATCGATTTACTCGAGTGAAAGAAAACGTGGATCTAGTCGCATCACTTTTAAAAGAATAAATTCTGTGGTTGTATATTTTTTATGGTAGCAAAATTAAAAATTATATACTTGTTTGCTTTCAAGACAATAAATATCATCTTATACTATATGGATATTATCATGCAGGTTGGCTAAATATTAACATCCCTCATTACGTAAGTATTTCTCTTTTTATTTTTTTTTGTCGATAAATTCGTCAATTAAACTGACGAGATTACGTTAATAAAAGAGCATGTATGAAGAACTTGCGAAATTCGATTAAAAAGCATGTTGAATTACGTAAAACAAATGATAAACAGGTCTTAGAACCTTATAAAGCTACAAGTTTAAGTAGTATTAAGTTTATGTTATTAGTAAAATGTAAGTTAAATTATAGACAGAACGAGTACACAAAATAAGTTTTTGATTATGTTAAAAAAAATGGAATCTTTGGGTCGAGGGATTTAAGGAAGTTTCTGTATTTGATGCAGCTTCATCCGCTTTGAAGAGCGATTAATTTAACTGCATTTATGTACATATAGGCCTCCCCCAAGGTAAGCCACAAAGCACGGCCTGAACCACCTGCATTAATTGACTTCCTGCAAGTCTTACCAGCTCGTCGCCTCTATGGGGCGACGGGGTGATGTAGCGAGTTTTATATTTAAAATGTTGAAAGTTTTAAAATTGATATTTTATACATAAATTTTTAGTTACGATTAATGTGTTTTGTTAATTATTAATGTTATTCGATTGTTAGTAAAATTTGTTAATTGTGTCACGCGCCATGCATTTTTTATTTCTACATTTACCCACAAATTTGTTTTATATGTGCTATAATTATTCAATAGTGCACTATTTTAACTTACGGTGAAACTACTCGAAAATCTTCAGTTTGTTTGTAGGTTATTGTTAGATTCATATTTTAATTGTTAATTTCTCAGTAATCCGTTTAAATGCAGTAAAACTAATAATACTATTGTAATTTATAGATTATAAGAATTAAATTGACATACATTTCTTTAAAAATCCTTAAAATTTGTGGTGGGTTCATTCTCCATACAAAACTAAACTGTTTTACCTTTAACCTTTCGCTTATATTGCTTAAACACTACAAATTTTTGACTACTTACCAAGATATGCAGATATCATTAGAGCAATGTTACGCATCTACGAGTACCACATATTCTAATATAATATATTTTTGTATTTTCAGAAACATTTGTGGATATACCAACTATTATTCCCCACCACGTTAATAATAGCATGGTTGGGAAGTGTTTTCTTCCGCGACGCTCCTCGTGACTCCATCTATATCCGGGCTCTGTACGCTGGTATCATGAAGCCTGTTAGCACTTTGCTGTTGGCGTTATTTATACTGGGAGCTATATTCAAATGTGATAGTAAGATTATATCAATAACTTACGTATTATATCAGAAGTGTTAATAACCATCAAACATGTGTTTTTTGGGCCACCGTATTTTTGTGGATTTTTATTTCTGCTATTAAAATTATCTCTATTTTAATTATCATTGTATTTCGTGGCATTCACTGTACGGATTTTTCACACATATACACTCACACATGCACGAGCGTGCAATCCCGTAGGTGCGCACTGTTGCGTGTGAAAATATGCAAATATGCGTTGACGTAAAGACAATATAATTTCGTTATGGAAAAATTGTATGTACTAATACAGGCCTTTAAGATTTAATTCAAATATACCCTAAAAGAAAAGAACAATAGTACTAGCAAGAGAGCGGAGTTTAAAGGGCACAACGCACATCTTAAAGTGATTTTGACAAGCCTTTTTTGACAGTACATTTCAACTGTAATGATGATAATATTATATTAAAATAAATACCTTAGCGTGAGTCATAATGATGCTATTATACCTTAGCGTAAGGCAGCTGAATTGTTTATGAAATTACTCGAGACGAACACAACACCCCGTCTAATAGTAATGGGATGCTGTAGCACGTACGTAGCAATATTTATTCTCTACTAAGAATTAAAATGCCCAATACGTAGTCACTCCGAGGACTATGATGAAATGCCTTTTTACTGGTATCTGAAAATGGATACCCTTTTTCTTTATGGTTAGCGTCGTTCACATAAAACCAGCTAGGATATACAGCAGGGTGGATTAAAATATTGAAATGAGCTATTTCCGTCCATAAGTCAGTCGTGGTGTTTGCAAAGTACTAAAAATTATCAAACCTGAAAGTATGCCATTTGCCTATGCCACCCGTAAATCAAAATTCGTTCGACTTTTTGGTCAGCTCATAAAGTTACATGTTAATAATTCTGTGTTGAAGCATTATAATAAAAGTATATATAAATATTTTAATAAATGAAGGAGAGTGGTTTACAAATGGTTGTCTACTTAATAGTAGCCACTAAAGATCGGACCAGAAAATCGTAGCGAAAGTAGCCAAATGACTGTGTGCAGACTGTGAAGTCGAAAAGTCGTTAGTGCAAATACGAGTACACCATTCTACTTCATCTTCAAGCTTACTTGGAGGTATTAATATATTATAGTATTAATAATGGTAAAATCTATGTGTATAAATGGTTGACGATTGTTTATTTACTGTATTACTCGGAATGACGTCTATAAAATGTATATCGAGGATTTATTAGCAAAACAAAATTGCAATTGTTATTAACAAAATAAGATGAAAAAAAATATATTCAATTTTTCCTTAATAACTCAAAAACTATTAATATTTAAAAACTTTTGAAAAAGATAATTAAAGAGGAGGAAATTTCCACAAAGAAGTAATTCCATAACAAATTAATAACTATATAAACAACAAAATTATTTCAATTCAAATTTTAATTTTTAATTATATGTCAACTATTTAACTTTTATGTAAACTTTGGTAGAAACAGAGGTTGGGAAAAACCTAATTTAATTGACGATCGTATAACTTTTTAAAAAATCGACAATTTTTTTTCCAACGGGGCTTTATTTATTCAAATGTTCTGATGACAACATAATTTGTTAAAATTTTTAAAATAATATTGAATACTTGTTAGATAATATTCTTAACTATTTAAATAAATGAACACTACTTAGTAGACTCTACGTTATAAAATATTCTTGAAACGCATTTGAAATTGGAATTGGACTTGGAAGGAATGGTGTGTGCATACCAACAGCAACATAGCCCATCACGATGCGACGCAGACCGGCCTCACTGCAACGTCACCTTCTTCGCTGGTACTGAAAACATTACCACGACGGACAGGATGACGACAACCATTGACACTCGTTGCATAACCTAGCGTAGTTGTCTGCGCAGGTCTTTATACTGCTTGCGAGTAGGGAATTTAACCGCTTATTAGAAATCTACCCTCACTCTTAACATACTATAAAAGAAATTAATGTTAGAATAAATAATGGAGGTGGAATTCCGGAAGTTGAGATGTTTTATTGAAAATTTCCTCCTCTGTTCTTTTTTTATAAACTATTTAAATATCAATCATTTTTGAGTTATTAAGGAAAAACTAAATATCTTCATACAATAACATATGCAAGTTTTATATGCTAAGAAATAGAGATACATTTTTATAGACGTCATTCCGAATCAAATGAGCTATCGCACATATTTCTAGGAGCGGGAGCAAGAATTAACACGTTTTTGAACTTGTTGACTAGACTACATTCTGTATCACCTATATTTACAAATTGAAGAGATTCATTTCTATGTTTCTAGTATTCTTGTAAAATAATGACAAACCATTTACCATATTTAAATTTTTTCAGAAATAACTCGAAATATATTAGAGTGGCGGAGGTGGGTCACACCAGCGCGGTTGTCCTACAGCGCGTATGTTCTACACTTATCAGTTATTCGTACATACATCGGCACTTCCGAAACACAAACAAATGCGCTGTTCCTTAACATGGTAAGAATAACAAATAATTAACATTTTCTATGGTGCTTTGTCTTGGCTTCGGACGAGCTTCTACTTCATTAGCCAGTATTCGTTTTTTTTTCCTCCGAACTAAATTATAATAAAACTCCGAGTTAAAGTGAGAGTATAATAGATTTTGCAGTAGACAACTTTTAAGCAAAAAGGTAATCACCAACTGTTGTCATTAGCAGCGTTTGCTTTTGAGTTGAAAAGTTTACATCCATCCGTGAAAAGGGATGAATGAAGGATCACTATAACTTATGAAATTTATTTACTTACCTATCTGGTAAATATATTTTTTTGGTACTTTAGCTCTAGTAATCATAATTTGCTGGACAACATCATCGTAATATCCTATCACAAGTCCAGTACTGAACAAAATCCTCTTCAAAGGAATGCCACAAAATGAGGTCCTGAGGTACCGATGTTAGAGGCGACAGAACAAAGCGACTCTTTGGTGTACAAAATACACAGAAAGACAGTGTGAAAATTTCGAGTCGCCCGGTTCCCAAATAGATAGATTGTGTACTGTATATAGGCTTATGAAGATTCTCTTATTTTTATGTTTGTTACTTTTTGCTTAACAGGCTTTTACAAGCATATCAATGGTGATTTTGGCCTTCCTTCTTGCAACACCGTTGTGGTTACTGGTGGAAGCCCCGGCGAATGAATTAGTACGAATGACTTTTTCATTGCTAATTGGCGCCCAGGAGACAAAGAAGACTGATGGAGTTAGATTAAAGATAACATAATTAAAACTGTATTTATAACAAAAATTTAAAAAAATCATAAACTGTTTTTCTCTCCATACGAAGTTAATTGAACATCCTTTGATAGACTAAAGATAGCATAATTAAAACTATGTTATAATTTTATTGTGCATTTTATCTTTATGAGGTGTTAAAATTGTGTAATATACATAATGCCTACTACATAATTGTTAATTTTTTACATTAAAGGCTGAATCTGATTGTTTAGTTAAATGTACGAAGAATTTTATTATAAGAACCACTGTTTTCAAACGACCTTCATAAAAGGAGAAAGTTCTCACTTCGACTGTATTTTTATGTGTGTTAGTTACCTCAAAACTTTTTCTAGGTGAACTGACTGATGGTTCTTTCGAAAACCGGTGCTTCTCCTGTAGTGTCATATAAATTCAATTAATATCTGACCACTAGTTTTTGAGTTATCCTTAATAATACTTATTTAATTGACTTCGACTACAATGATGATTTTCTTATTTTATTAAACAGACTTTAAAAAGAGTAGGTACTAAACTCGACTGTATGTTTTTTTATGTGTGTTACCTCAGAACTATTTTCTGAGTGAACCGACTTTGATGATTTATTTTTATATGTGAAATCTGGTAGAACTTGTATGGTCCCATTGAAATTTGATCAAGACCTAACCATAGTTTTTGAGTTAACCTTGATAATGTGTATTTGATTGACATCAAATATAATAATGATGTCCTTATTTTCTTTATATTAAAGTCGGTTGTACAATTTTTTTAATTTTACCACTTGTTACCTGGTAGAGGAAGCTGCAGCTATGTTGTCTTAGTGGTACGAATGGGTCGGCTCGGCTGGGGTAGGACCATGCTCTCAGAGATTACCAGCGTAAAATAGCAGCTTAATGCTGCTGTGTTTCATGTAGTGAGTGAAGAGAAAAACTGGAGACCCTTTTTACTGGAAACGAGACATTCCATTTTAGTCCTCAGGGGTGACAACTCATCTCCATTTTGATTCTTGATCAGTGATAAATGTAGATGTCTATGGGCCACAGCATTACTTACCATCAGGTGGACTTTATGACTTTTTGTCATACTTATTAAAAAAATTAACATATGTTAAGCCTTTGGCTGTCATACCAGTTACCTTGTACTGCATTTTAGACGTTACCGACGGCAATTTGAGTGTTTAAGCAAAAAATCAATCTACATTATACCGCCCCTAGAAATCTTGATCAAGACGGTCATTCTACCTAGTACAAACATATCTATATATTAAAGAGAATCAGTAAGAATGAAAGTGAAACTGAGTATTTTCAAAATCTTTCAAGTCAATCGCTCCGTAAAATAAAAAGTTACATAAAAACTGTTTGAGTTTTTAAATATCCTTTCTTAGTAGGCATTCACGTCATATTTCTTAGTGGATGCCTGTTTTTGTTGTCAAGGATCTTGAAAAGCTACCCCCAGTATTGTTTGATCATGTTGACCACGAGACTCCTTAAAAATATCTTAACTTGATAGCACAAGATTATGCAAAGGTGGGACAGCTGAAATATTAAAATCTGAGATTGAGTATATAATGATCGTTACGTAAATAAACGACACGGCGCCTGTTTAATAAACAGCTTTGAATACCATAGTGGTCCTATGGCCTTGCCCCCAATAAACGGTAACAATAACCCTATCCAACACAGTCGTCAACATGTAACATTTTTACCGGAAACAATATGTGTGGCTGGGTAATAGTAAATCAAGGACACAATTTGCAAAAAAAAAAAAAAACGAGCAAGTCAAACGGTTGCGGTGCCTCACCCGTCTCAGCTGAGTGGGCCGTTATCGTCGCAGCAGCCGTCTGCGTCTATGCCTTCTGCTAGCGCGATACATACAAACGCCGTAGTAGCTACCTTGGGTGGCACCCGGATCGGAAGTTGATGGTGTCACTGCATCGAAAGTAAAAAGCAATAAATTTTATATGATAATGGACATGGATCATTTATTAATTATAATATTGAAGAAATAACAAAACACAGTATTAACTAAGACAGAAAAGGAATCGTTATACAATTAAAATTTCTTCTTTCTAGCCTTAACAGCTGAAAACTCAGCAATAACTTCATCGAACATTACATTGTACTTAAAGTTGAGATACCGGGTGAGTGTCACCCCAAAAAAGGTGACATTCGGTGCGGCCCCCCCGCCCCCCCCTTTGCTACGCCACTGGACAGCAGGCCCATGAAATCTAAAAATAAATCTATGACAGATATTATGCGAGAAGGAGAATAGAAACCGCAGACGCGCAATGAGGAATGGATACTAGTTGAACGAAAAAGGAGACGTAATTGGTTTATAGAAAATTAGGGAAGGAGACCTTTTGGAGCCTGGTAATAAATTTAAAACAGCCGATACTAAGATTCCCGTTAGTATATATAAAGTGACGAAGGGAGGGTTCGTGTATATGTAGAAAAACTAAACATTAAAATAGAAAAAGATTATGAATCTTTTAAGACATTCGCACTTAAACATAAATTAAAGATATTTATATATTTATATAACCCCCGTTCGTATGGGGGGTATATATTATATAACCCCCATACGAAATTAAATCGGAACCAAGAACGGAAACGCAAATCAGAGTCCTAACGAATATGCAGAATGAAAATGCGATAGTAGATTATGTCGATTTTGGTCAAGGTGCTAGGATGCCAAGCGCTATAGTAAAATGCGTTTATTCATTTGCAGACACGGTGATACAAAATGCGTCCGAATATAGGGTTACCATGACGACAAAGATATTAAAATATTACAAAATAAGGACACAATTTTCTCTAATCCCCTAAAAGTAACTAAAGAAATTAAAAGATTACAAAATAAGGACACAATATTTATAAAAGGCACAAATGTTAGTAGAAGTAAAGATAAAGCGCGTTAAGGAAATGCAGAGGTCATAGGAGATATAGTTAGAAACACAGTACCAGTTACGTATCACGGTCAAAATATGAGGGTCCCAATTAAGGATATAAAACGTCCTCCACAGGTTCATTCTGTTCCTGCTGCAAGTCTTCAGGACCCAGGCCCTTCTACTTCAACCGATTGTCCGAAATTCCGGCATACTACCAATAAAGGAGGGACAAGCTCTCATTATAGTGGTCTTTAGTTAAGATATTAGACTTAAGCTTAATACGTGAGGATCTATAATTTAATAAGAATCGATACGATAACCTAAATGCACATGTGACACGTTATTTTGGTAAAAAATTAATTAACTCTGAAATAAATAATTTAAAAATTCAAACAGATTATATTCAAAATATAACAATCGAAAAATTAAAGCAACTATTACCATCAAAAAGGGCTAAGCGCGGTATTCTGAATCCTCTCGGGTCTCTTATTAAAATTGTGACAGGTAATTTGGACAATGATGATGTCTTACACATAAGGTACGATGCTTTAATAAATGATGTAAAATTAAATCATGGTCAGCTAAATAGAAAAATGACAGTGGTCGCCGAAATGATGAAAACTTTTATTAATGTTACAAATATTACAAAATTCAATTTCATACAGCTGGATTAAACTCTTTGGGAAATGAGAAAACAAATTTATATAACAAATAACTCTCAAAAGGAACTTAAAATATCTAACGTATATAACTTGTTTCTACATAACTTTCAAACTACATATATCAAAATAGATGAAATTGAAACAGCGATAACTTTTAGTAAACTAGGAACATTGCATCAGTCTATTATTGACACTGCTGAACTCTTGTCATTGTTAAAAATTATCGAACGAAGAAATAACTTTGTATTTCCTGTAAAAGTAGAAAACATTTTAAAATTAGAGCAAAGTATAGATTTAAAAGTATATATATATATATATATATATATATATATATATATATATATATATAAAGGAAAATCAAATAACCTTTATTTTAGATATATCCCTAGTTGATTCGAATACATACATATATTACAAAATTCTTCCTTTACCTACCACTAATTCCATGAACCAAACATCCCTTATTGTACCTAAATACCTTCTGATGAAAGGGTTGAAAGCGGTATCACTTCTTCACCCATGTAAAGAAATTGATGACTCACTGTTCCTGTGTGAAGAAGATTATTCATCCATGTTAATTATGGATAATTGTGTAACCAGCCCAATGAATTTAGCAGCTAACACCACCTCGTGCCGGTCCCTATCAGTAGAGTTTGATGATTTGAAGATAATGAAAATAGAAACCAATCGATGGATGTTCTATTCAAAAACTACACTATTACTTACCAAACAATGTGGAAATGAAATATCACACTATAATTTAATTGGGACATATATAATCTCAGCCGACGACAACTGCGAAGCTAAAATCAAGGGATTCAGTCTGAAAAGGCATTATGAAAACATAGAGGAATATCCGTTGACTCCCTTACCAATAATAAATCTTCCGGAAACATCACAGTTGTTAATGAAGACATCTTCAAATTCAGCAGCAGTAAACCTGGATGACGTGGATCTGACCAATCTACAGCAGCTAAACCACATATTAACAAGTGATAGTGTAAAAAGTGAGCAAAATGAAAGTGTCATAAATGTGAAGGACATAAGTATCGGGACATTAATTTTATATGTAATTTTAGTTATAATAATTGTAATCTTTTTTAAAAAATATTTGTATCGAAATTACCGGAATTGGAAAACTTCGCCCGGTAATTTCGAATCTGAAAGGCTGAACTAAACCGGAGACCATCACAATTCAAGCGTAAGCGTGGGCGTAGATTGCTGAATTGCGTCTGGAAGACGGGTGGTCTTTCGTGTGAATACTGATAACTGTTCGTTAGCTTAAAGATCTAGAATAAGAATTAGGATAGTCTTAGTAAGCTCCCACATGTATCGGACATGTAGTTTTAAGTTAGAATCCATCGCGGATTAATTAAGTAGTATATAAGTAATGTATCGCACATTAATAGTTATAAGTTTATTAATAAAGTCTTTTTAAAAACGTCCTGAGTCAATTTCGAA